CTCCCTATCCATACAGCAGTGGCTCCCCAACCAGGGACCTCCTCTGTTCATGTCTCAGGCTCCCTACTCCCCACCCCATTGTCATTCACCTTTCTGTGGACTCTACTTGAATCGCATGTGCTCTAAAATCACTGGTCCCTGATGGGACACTGATTCCATCCAGTCTCCTTGGACTTGGATCCTAGCTGTTTCGTGGGCCCAGCCTGCTTTTGCAACATATTACCTCCCACCACACTCCTGGGTGCACAGTGAACCCAGCCCCTCCCTGGGGCACTCTGCCTTTTGATCAAGGGCACAGCTCAGTGTCCTAGAGCTTATAAGGGGCTTCATAGACCCTTCCCCATTTCTAGTCACCTTCCTCTAGATGTGCTTCAGTTTGCCATGTCCACTGGACCTCTGTTACCACGACCAAGGTCAAATGTCACATCACAAAGGCCACACCCCCATTCTTGGTCCTAACTGACCACCAGCTCTTAACTCTAAGCCTGTTACTGGATCATTAACCTGCCAGTAAATATAAGGTGTTCTTCCTTCCACTCATCCACATACCCTTCAGTTGTTGCATTCAAGAAGAGAGTCTTAAAGTTGAAGGAACCTTCTTGTATCAAAAATCAGGAGACCTTGGAAGACAGTTTGTTAAATGAAGGACCCACAAGAGTAAAATAATTACATGATTGGTGGATACTTTGGGATAGAGGAGCCTGATTCCCCCTCATAACTTATATAATGACAGCTTCTTTCTGGCTTGGAGGGAAGGGCCAATGAAGCACGTAGGCCAAAGCAGGGTTTTCATGTTCTAGAAGAGCCGGTGTGTATGTGTGTGTGTGTGGACAGCACATGCATGGCTGTGTGCATAACACCCCAAGGTTCTATCAGCCTGAAAGATAGAGAGATTTAGAGACAGAGAGAAAAAGCTCTGCCCTTCTTTCCTGGACGGCCCTCCCTACCACACCCAACAGATTGCACTTCAGAGGAGGGGTGTGGGCAGGGCCCTGCAAGCTGGATTTAAATGACAGGAAGGCTTCTGTAGAAACCAAGAAGGAAGGGTCCGCTCTGAAGATGTATTACAGACCTCCTCAAGCTTCCAACTTACGTCATCTTACTTTGTAGAAGCGACCCACACCTTGGGTTTGCGCTTGGCAATTTACATCTCCTCCCGTCACTCTGATCAATTTCCAAATTCCTAGTCTCCCTTCTATGCCCTCGTTCTTCATTTCTAAAGGAACTGCAAACGTCACACTCTGATTTTGTTAGTGGCGATGGCAATGCCTCCTCAGAAGATAGGACCATTTATCTTTATATAAGCCTGAGAAAAGAATCCAAATAGATGATTACTGATTCTTTTATCTCGTTCTGGGCTTCCAGTGAGTGGGTTTCTTGCCTGGGATCCTCTGTACAGCTGGGAGAGGCATGGAACTGAGGTGCTGACAGCTTGTGTTGGAATCACATGGTGTTTACTGTGCTGTGAGTTTATAACAGCCTTGTTTCCATACTGACAGCAAATGCCATATGGAGAGAAAAACTCCTGTCAGATGAACCCTTAAGGAATCACAATATGGTACATGAAATCTCTTAATTGCTTTTGGAAATGGGGAGGGGCACATTGCTCAAATCACATTAAGCCGTGCAGTTCTCTCTGCCATAATTGAATAAAACTGGAGTTTGACGCTAGGTAATTTACTTTCATTCTGTGTTTGTGCTGGGGAGGTTCAGCTGATTGGGAAAGGGTGAGGAAGTTTGTTTTCCTCACCTCAGGGTGGGGGGGGGGATCAGGTCGAGTGGGAGGCAGTGAGAATGCAGGCTGTATCTACAGGGTGTCACGCTAACAGGTGCGAGCTACAGACCTGTCACCCTCTCAGCTCCCTCCTTCCCAGATTCCCTACTGTGGCTGATGATAACACTCATCTAACTTGACATTTTATTACTGTCACTTGGGATCTTGTCTGCTCACCCACACACTCCACCCCTTCCAACAGAATCCAAGCTTCCTGAGGGCTGGGACTGCATCCCATTCCCCACCCCCACCCCACCAATTCTGGCCCACACTGAGGTGGGTTAAATGTTTGTTGGAATGGCTATTTGTGGACCATCTGTGCGTGGAAAGGTAAGCGAGTTAAGGCAACAGTCCAAGGCTAGTTTCAGCCCCCAAACCAAGGGGATCAAGAAGGGAACTTGAAGGTGGCTATCCATGTTGATCAAAGTATCCATTCAGGAGAGAACGAGAAATGTTTGAGTGCCTTCTTATACACACTGTACTTAGAACTGGTGGATCCCCACATAAAGTTGCTGCCCTTGGGCAGTTTACCCATGAGAGAAGTGGGCTGTGAAAGTCTCCAGCCTGTACGCCTAGTCACTTGCTCTTCGAGTTGCAAATAGACAAAATCCCAACACCGACTGACTTCACACTCTGTCAGGTAAATAACTGGGCAGGCACCAGGCTGGCCTCGGTGAGGCTGGCTTCGGGGGCTCCTGTGATGTTGGCAGTGTGGGGTTTCTTCCTTCTGCATTCAACCCCACCTTCCCCTGTTTCACTCTCTGTGGGTTCTCACTGCCTAGTGGGACAGACAGTTGTGGCAGCTCTTAGTTGACTGATCCTAACACCTTGGCATCCCAGGGAGAAGCAAGCATCTCTCCCTTAACTTCTAGAAGACTCCTACCCACTCAGGTCATGTGCCTTGAACCTATCATTGTGGCCTGGAGACAGAGGGGGCTCTGATTGGCTGGGGCCAAGTCACATGTCTGTTTCTGAACCTATCACTGTGGTAAAAATGGGGATCTCTGATTGGCTAGGGCTGAATCATGTGCCCATCCTTCACCCTATCATGTGGGTGGGAGATGAGGGCTCTGGTTGGCTAGAACTGGGTCACGTGCCCATAGTGAGGCTCCCTTAGAGCCTAGGGCTGGATTTATACAGTTTCAGAGAACTGAGATTCCTTGAAGGAATGGAGACAGAATAGGCCGAGAGACCCACAAACTCGGTGATAGCAGATGGTGTTTAGTAAGCATTATCTATATGTTAGGTTCTGTTCTGAGTCTTTTCTATGCATTGTCTTATTTAATCCTCAAGACAGTCCTAGAAGATAGGTATGATTAGTGTCCCCAGTTTACAGATGAGGAGACTGAGGGATGAAAGTGTTAAGTCAGATGCCTCAGGACACACAGGCAGAGCATGGTGAGGCTGGCGTTTGAACCCAGGCAGTTTAGCTCCAGAGCCCATGCTCACAGCCACCATCCTCCCTACAAGTCACGGCTTTACTTTTTTTTTTTTTTTAAAGATTTTATTTATTTATTTGAGACAGAGAGAATGAGAGAGAGAGAGCATGAGAGGGAGGAGGGTCAGAGGAGAAGCAGACTCCCTGCCGAGCAGGGAGCCTGATGTGGGACTCGATCCCGGGACTCCAGGATCATGACCTGAGCCGAAGGCCGTTGCTTAACCAACTGAGCCACCCAGGCGCCCTACTTTTTTTTTTTTTTTTAAAGATTTTATTTATTTGACAGAGAGATAGCGAGAGAGGGAACACAAGTAGGGGGAGTGGGAGAGGGAGAAGCAGGCTTCCTGCAGACAGGGGCCCCGATGCAGGACTCGATCCCAGGACCCTGGGATCATGACCTGAGCCGAAGGCAGACGCTTAACGACTGAGCCACCCAGGTGCCCCGCGGCTTTACTTTCTGTGGATAAACTCTTTCTTTGGTTGTGAAAGTGAGTGGACGTGATGGTTGTGTTCATACCTCCTTGTTGTGTTCCTTATCTTCAGAGAAACCCCCTTTCCAGGGATGATTGTCCTTTTTCCTCCTCTGCGTTCAGCGAGGATATAGTCATTCCTTCTGTTCAGGTTGCTCTCCTGAAGTCATTATAACCCTCTTCCCGGTTTCCCCATGAAGTCCCCTGACCGTTTCTAATGCAGTTGCACCAAGGTCCAACGATCAGTGCTTGAGAGGGTCAGAGGCAGCATGTCTCAGTCAGTCCATTGAGCATCTTTCTGGCCAGAAGAACCTCCAACAGAGGCTTTAGCATCATTGCAGGAAGAGCCAGAAGGTACCTTCCCCCCCACACCCCATTCTTACCTCCAACATGTGCCTTTATTGTCCAGAGGAAGACTGAGGCCCAGAGAGAGCAAGTGAGTTGCTTGAAGTCACATAGCAAGTCACTGGCTAGCACCTGGTCTCCAGGCCTCCAGGCTTGGAGTCTTGCACTGCATTTCCTCTTTGGAACTCTCTTGGCTGCTGTGTGGCTGGGGGCCGGTCACTTCTTGTTTCCGTGCCTCTAGTTCCTCAGCTGGAAAATGCAGGGTTTTCATAATTTGAAGTGCTTTGAATTACAAGTAATTTTTAAATCTTTTCAAACTGCCCTAAACAAAGCTCATAAATAAACTTTTCAGATGTGGTTTGAGCTGCAGGCATGGTTTGATCCAGAGATTGATGACACCACGAGGACACCAACTTTACTTTTTGTCATTTTCTCAGCTCTGACCTCCTCTGTGTGTGAGCCTCGTCATCATAGCAGCTTCCCTTGCAGTGTCAAGAGCACTGCATTAGACCTTGGCCTCGCACCCATGCACCCCAGCCCCCAGAGGAAGGGAGGGCATTTCTGCTCAGCGTGCCCAGGCACAGTCTGTGGTCCACTCCGACTGGAACTGGCTTGGGTCACATGCCTGCCACCCTTATCCAGTCACTAAGTGGGCAGTGTGACATGGTGATCGGCCATCCAGTGGGGTAGAGTCACCCTCCCCAGAACTGCTGACATCTGGCATACAGGAGTCAGGGCATCGGAAAGGGGGAGTGGGCTAAGAACTAGAGGTTGGGGCGTAACTGGTGCCTTCCTCTAAACCGCCCTTCTCCCCTCTGAGTCTGCATAGCTTGGAGATAAATAAGGGGTCCTGAGAGTTTGCCAGTCATCTTGCTCCAACCCTCTGGGGCTCTGGGTACAGGTGTGCGTTGATTGGATGGCCCTCCCTAGCTCTCTCCTGCTTCTCACCACCTTCTTCTTTTCTTGTTTCCAGACAGAGATTACTGCAGTTTATGTGACAAGCAGCCAATTGGGAGACTGCTTTTCCGGCAGTTCTGCGAAACCAGACCTGGGCTAGAGTGTTACATTCAGTTCCTGGACTCAGTGGTAAGTCTCTGCTCCTGGGGAGGCCCTTTGGTCCTCTGTGATCAGTGATTGTTTTTGCCCAGAGGAAAAGATAGACCATATCGTTTAGAAGGGTGAAGAATGAAATTGTTGCTCAAGAAATTTCCAGACTTGTCCACAAGTCTGCCCCAGCCGGGTGACCATGGATGGGCCACCTCCCTCTCTGGGTCTCAGTTATTGCTGCTTTAAAGGGAAGCCCTGTCAATTGTCTGATTCTGGGAGCCTGGGTTACTACGCAAGGCAGCGCCTGGGGAAGTTGGATAACATCCCAAGGTAACACTCAGATTCCATGACCCCTCCTAGCTGAAAACCCATTTTCTAAAATTCCGAAGCTTGTGTTTGTGTTCTTATTTACTGTCTACTTTTCCTCTAGAATGCAAGTTCCCTGAGGCCAGGACCCTGGGCTTCCCATTCACCCTGCCTAGAACAGAACATGGCACATACAGGCTTTAAGTAAACGTCCGTGTAATGAACATGTGTTGGCCATTTTAAGCCAATCTGACAGTTGCTGGCCCCAGCGGCCGCTGACATGTGTGGCTGTGTTTGACACCATATGGAGACTTCCTTCAGATTTACCGGTCATTGACTGGTTTAACAAGTGGTGCTTGATCTGCGTGGGCTTTTAGGACAGGACGTAGGAATGTGCAGGAATTCCTCAGCACTCGTGCAGGAAGGCAGGGCACCTCAGCCTGGCAGACTGCCTTTTGGGTGTCTATCCAAGGAAGGTGGACAGTGGGTGGGAGGGCAAGGAATGGAGACCAGTCATGAAAAGAATGGGGTATTTCCAGGCGCCCCTTCCCAGGGCAGGGGACCAAGATATGGCTGTTTCTTAGAGGCCCCAGTGCCACCCTTGGCTGTAGCCATCCCGACCTCTATCTCGGTTTCGGGGACAGTCCTGTGGGGCCCAGGTTTCTGTGTCTGCTTCAGGGTCTTGGTGTGGATCTCCAGATTTACGAACTAAACTGCCCACTGAGTGTCCCTGCCAGAAGTCACCTTCCCCCAGATCCCCAAACCTACCAGGCCTGACATGTTCCCTAAATCCAGTGACCCCTTTGCAATGTCCCTGACCCCTCCCTCTTCCTCATCTCTTTCCCCATCTAATCCAGGACCATATGCTTGATTCCTTGACCCCTCGCAGACCAGTTCCCCTCCATAGCCTCTGTCTTGGTTTTAGTGGAGGCTCTCAGCATGTCTCACATAGTGACTACAATAGTTTTCAACCTTGGCTGAGTAACAGAAACACCTGGGAGCCTTAAAAAAAATACCAATGCCTGAGCTGAAGCCCAGACTCATTAATTTGAATCTCGGGAGGGGGTGAGGGGCTAGTAGTTTCATAACTTCTCATAATTTCAAACTGTAAAAAGTAAAGTTGAAGAGTAGTATATGCACCCTTCACCCCACTTGAACCGTTATGAACTGATGGCCAGTCTTGTTCACCACGTCCTCCCCGCTTCTAGCATTTTGTAGCACATCTCACACATACGATTTCATCCGTGAGCATTTCAGTTCAGCATCCCTGAACGGTAAGGGCTCTTTCACACACACACACAAATCACCACAATACCTTTAGTGCAGCTAAGGTAAAAAAGTAATGATTATCATCAAATATTAGTGTTTAAATGTCCAACTTTCTCATACTTTCTGTAAATGCATGTTTTAACAGGTTATAACCATCGCTCCTTGTTCATCCACAAGTGTCCCGGAGTCTGAATTCTGCTCTGTCACTCCATATGTCATGTAATAGGTTTCTCTGAATTGCTTGTAAATTGCTCATTGAATCGAGAAACTTGACCAGATTCAGTTTCAGTTTTTTTGTTTTTTTGTTTTGTCAGGGGCAGGGTGACTTCATATGTGGCTTTTTGTTTTTCCATCAGGGGACATTACTCTCCGCTTGTCTTTCTGTTAGAGATGGCAGCCGATTTAGGCAGTGCCTAAATGTGTTGATTAATTAGGGATTGCGGCATGGTGACATTCTCATTTTGTCATTCCTTCTTCATTTGCTGACTGGGAAACTTCCTTTCGATTACTGTTTGGTTACCCAGTGATAAAGTTCATGGAGGGGTTGCTTCATTCTTTCCCTGTATTTATGTTTTCTAAGTACCAGATTGGTTCACTAGCACCCTCCAACAGTAGTAACCAATTTGTTTTAAAGGCGTGGATTTAAACACGGATGCATTTTGATGTGTGGTGGTCCTTATCCTTATTGAGGCCCCGTGATCTCATCATTGGCCACCAGGTTGGCTTCTGAGCCCTTGAGAGGACCCAGTAGTCATGGGCAGCTCCTTGCTATTTGGTAAGGATGCGATGTCTCAGTTCATCTTGTATCTTTACTGCCTAGACCTAGAGTCCACTGTATCTCCAAGGAGCCCTGGTTCCTTTACTGGGAAATGGTACTTGGAGACCACAGTTTGGCACTAGGGGTGCTCATTACCCATGGATTGGCCCGGATTTCTAATAGACATTGGCATTTTTCAAGTTGCCCACAATTGTACTGTGTATCCAGGGTTGGGAAACATGGACATCCAGGATAAAGTCCAAGCTCTGAGGTTGAATACCAGGTCTTCCACTGCCAGGCCCCCACCTGCACTATTCATCCTTGACCTTCACCCTGGTCTTTCTTGAGCCGTGCATTTTCTGACTTGCCACCACAGAGGTTGAAGCCTCTCGGCCCTGGCTCCCTCACTCCTGATGCCTGAAATGCCCCCACGTGCCCCTCAGGAGAATGCCTGCTGGTTCCTTGTTCTCTCACGCTCTGCTCTCAGAAGCCTTCCCCCACCGCCCCTCCCCGCGGTGCCCTCTGCCCTAGGTGCTGGCTCCAGCACGCGCCGGAGCCTCATCATTGGGCAGTGCTAGAGCGGTGTATTGGTCGGGCGTGCAGCCTCCAGACAGACTGAGGGAGCAGTGCTGGTTCTGGGTGGGCGCCAGACCCCTCTGGGAGAGTTCGCCAGGGGAGTGTGTGGTGGAGGAACAAGGCAGGCAGGAGACCAGCCAGTGCAAAGGCCCACAGGCATGGCATCTGTGGCTGGAATGGAGGGAGCAAGGGCAGAGACGGGTCTAGGAGAGCTGTTGATTATGCAAGACCTTGTGCCATTAAAGAACTTTGACTTTGAGTGAAATGGGGAGCCCCTGGAGGGTTTTGAACAGAGCAATGGCATGGTCTGACTTAGGTTTCTAAAGGATCCCTTTGGCACCTGTGTTGGAGGGGAAAGGCCGGGCGCAGGAGCTCTGATAGACGGCTGCTGTCGCAGTCCAGGCGAGGGCTGATGGTTGCTCAAGCCAGCGAGGAAGCATGTAGCGGTGGTGAGAGTGGTTGCATTTGGGGCATGTTTTGGAGGCAGAGTTAACAGTGTTTCTGGATGCATTGTGGGTGAGACAGAAGAGTTACAGATGACTTCAAAGTGTTGACCTGAGCAGATAGAAGGATGGAGTGAGGGAAAGGCTATGGGAGGCACGTTTGGGGGAAGACCAGGAGCTCCATTTTAGGTACTCTCAGCTGGAATGTCTCTCGGACAACCGAGTGGAGATGATTGAGGGGAGATGGACGTTCAAGTCTGGCATCTGCAAGAAAGGTCTGGGCTGGAGTTGGAAGATTGGGAGTTGTCAACATATAGCTGGTATTTAGGGCCGTGGGCTGGGTGAGCTGACCAAGGAGATGAACGTGGAAGGAGAGATGAGGACCAAAGATGGAGCCCTGGACCAAGGCTGCTCCCCACTTGGAAAAGATGAGGCATCACCAGCTTTGAGACTCGTCTAGAGTTGATGAGGCAGAGCAGGGAAAGGCTAAACCCAGGAGTCAGTGGAATTTTCCAGCCACGTGTCTTGTTAGAGGCTTATAGTCAGTTTGAGGAGGAAATTAAAAAAAAAAAAAAATCCAATGGATGCCCATTTTCATTCTGGTCGTGCAGACGTTCCCTTTTCCTGGGCCAGTACCAAGAGCTTTTTTTCTGGAAAGGAAATGTGAGTCTGGCTCCCTGTGTTGATGCGACAAATGTTCTTTACATACGCCTTAATGCGGCCGACACTCATAGAGGCTGGCCCTGCCCCTCGCATTTTGTCTGCATCTCTGGGAACTAGCAGGGCCTTTTCATCACCCATCTTGACGTCAAATGACCAGCCTTTGGAACACCTCTTTTACGCAGGAAGACTTTATTGAGTTTTCCAGGGCTGGCGCAGCTCTCGTCTGAAATATGTTTTTTCCTTCCATCCTGACTGGAACTCCAAGGAGGCAGCATACAGCCCCGGTGCTCCCTGGCTCAGCCGGCACCATCCACACCGTTCCCACCTCTGTGTTGAATTTCTACCAAGTGGGGTTTATTAAAAATAACCCGTCTTCGTCAGTCTCTGACGTAGTCCCCGGGAAACGCTGCTGTCCTGCACAGTCCTAATGTCTGAGTCTCTCAAGTCAAGTCTCTCAAGTCAAAACCATGGCTGTTTTAAAATGGGGCCTGGGTGACTGGTGGGCAGCAGAACTGTTTGTATATCATTCACAGGGTAATTCAGCCCTTAGTCTTAGTTGTCAAGGGCCTCCTGGGAACCTGAGAAGGACTCCTTCATTGCCCTCCCACAGAGAAATGGGGTCAGTGACCAAAGTCAAAGCCATGACTTGATTTGGCCTCAAAGAAGATTTGCCCACCTGGTCAGGGGACCAGCAGAGGCTCCAGTGTCAACCTCCACAGGCCAGTAGGGTCTTTCCACAGACTTAGATTTGATGTACTTCTTCTCTCACCTGTTTTCTGGGAGCCTTGATGGCATCCCAGCTCATTTGAAACTCTCCTGTCCCCTCACTTGGGTGTGACTGAAAGTTCTGAGGTCTCTTCTCTTTGGGGTTAGGGGAGATTTGGCAGCTACTCAACCAGTTATTTAGCACTTATTTCCTGGATGTCTCCAGGATATCATACTCTGTTCTAGCTTTCGGAGACTACACACTGAGTAGGAGAAGAAAGTTCCTGCCCTCATGGAACTTGCTTTCTGATTAAATGAAA